GGGGGGGGGGAGGGAGAACCCAGGTTTCAGTACAATTTCAGAAATTAAGCCAGAATTTCCCATTCTGTTTTGTATTCACGAATGGGGCCAGGCAACCTATTCTGGGAAGATAACACATCTGTGTGAACAGACGTACAGCCCGAATAAAAGTTAGTGACCCAAGTATACAGAAGTTGTCCCTACGGCGGAGGCTGAGGGGACCGGTGCAGGATCCAGCTGGATCTAAAATGATGGCACATCAAGCCTGCGAAAAAATGATTTTCGGGGCGCCTGGGTGGCTCAGTCGGTTAAGCATCCGACTCTCGGTTTCGGCCCAGGTCGTGATCTCACGGTTCGTGAGTTCAAGCCCCGTGTCGGGCTCTGTGCTGACAGCATGGAGCCTACTTTTTTTTTATTTGTAATGTTTATTTATTCTATTTTTGAGACAAAGAGAGGGAGAGACAGAGTGCGAGCAGGGGAGGGGCAGAGAGAGGGGGAGACACGGAATCCGAAGCGGGCTCCAGGCTCCGAGCTGTCAGCACAGAGCCTGCTTGGGACTCTCTCCCCCTCTCGCCCGCTCACATGCATGCACGCTCGCTCTCTCTCTCAAAAAATAAATGGATAAACTTAAAGACAAAAAAGCTAAGCAGAAGCCCTGCCGGTTCCCGCTCCTTCTGTGCCACGAGAGTGTCTTAACCTCGCTCCCTGAGGCACCCTGCTGGCCAGGGGCCACGGCACCCGTGGGGCAGCGTGACTCCAGGCCGGGGGCTTACTCTTCATTCTCACCCGAGCTCAGCGGGGACGCCCTCCCCGTGTCGACACGCGGCTTGGTTTTCACGGCAGTGACAGTAGTGACCACGGTCCCACAGGGCATCACCATGCGGTCTTTTTCCACCTTCGCAGCAGGAGCGGGCGGAGCGGTCTGCCAGGATTTCGCTTCGCCGGGCTCTACGTAAGAGAACTGCAGAGAAAGCTGGTTACGCGCTCCATACGGCACCCGGCCCGGCGCCTGGACGGGGGCGGGGGGCCGCCTTCCTCTGCCATAACCTCTGCCTTCTTCGATGAACGTCACCTAGTCTCGGAACCGTCTGACGATTGACCCGGGGTTCCCCACAATGGACAGAAGGCGGTAAGACCCGCGCTCAAACCCACCCACTCGCCATGCAACGACGCAACAGAGGCTGGAGAACCCAATGCAACCAAGTGGCCCTTTCCGGGGCCGGCCCACGTGACACGGCATCGTGGACCGCTCCCCACGTGGCAGGCGACTCGACGCGACCGTGGGCGGGACGTGGCCCATCCGAGTCTGGAAACGCACAGCGCGCAACGGGCTCTCAGGAGAGCGTCCTGCTTCAGGCAAGAGGGAGCCTGACAAGTGAAGACGTTCCTTATTTCAAGTGGGTCTCGAGCGGCTCAAGCCGGAGCGCGGCGACAGCGGGCAATGTCGTCGTACCTCTGCGGTGACCGAACCCAGCACCGAGCTGCCGAAGGAGGGGCCGCTGGTCAGCGTAAAGCTCTGTGGCCCCGCAGGCTGCTTCTTGAATAAATCTAAGGGAATGGTCGTCACCGCCGACAGAGCTGGGGAAACAGGACACAAGTAAGGAACACTGTAGGCGTGCCTCCACGGGGTGCCACGGAAGCCACCACACCCAGGACGAGTCCCCGAGGCGCCACTCCAGACCACCGCAGGAGGAAAAGCCTGTGCGGGAGTCGAGAGTGACAGCCCTGAGGGCCAGGAAGCCCGACCTGCAAGGCTGGGATGCAGACCCACCGATGCAGATCCAGGAAGCCGAGAGCTGGGCAGCGGCCGTCAGGAGAACATCCTCATTCTCAGGAAGGACACGCCAAGGAGAGGGGGTGTGAAGGGCCCGCGCGTGCGTGTGTGTGCGCGTGCAGAAACAGCGTGTGCAAAACCGAGAGCCGCCACCCAGCGCGAGCACAGGTAACAGAGGCATGGGGCAACATGTCAAAAGCGTGTGGGTGTGAGTAAAGGTTATATGGTTGTTCTTCGTTCTGTTTTGTGTTTTTCACACGGAATTTCGTAGACCCCGCGAGGCTGGACAGGACTGAACCGCCAGCGGAGCAAACGAGCCGTGCGTCAGGGGTGGATTCGGAGGGGCTTCTCCGCAGGCGAACACCCGGCCAGTCTGGGGTCAAACCACACGCCTGCCCTTGGCACGTCGGGAGCGCCTCACTGCCTCCCCCCAAGACAGCAGAATCCGGGAAATGGGCTCCGAATTCTTGCTCATACATAGAAGCTTAAATTGCTTTTTCCTGGGTCTTGGTAATTTTAGGAGACATCCAAACGGCCCGGGTTTGTGGCAGGAGAAGCCAGGAGAGGGTCCCCCTCTCCGAGTTTGGTAAGTCTAAGGGCATCTTTAGAAACCTGATAAATATTGATACTCCTGACTCAAGCACATGTGCACTCACACCGGTCCGAGCTCACTGTCATGATTTCTACCTTTAATTGTCGCTTTCTCATCTCTAAAGCATGTGCCCAGTACAAGCAGCCGTGGCTTATTTTACAAGGAAGAGCAGGTTGAAATCCACAGAGACAGAGAGTAGAATGGCGGGGGAGGGCGCCAGGGGCTGGGGGGAGGAGGGGACAGGGAGTTGTCTCAGGGGGACAGAGCCTCGGCTTGGGAAGATGGAGAAGTTCTGGAGACAGACAGCGGTGAGGGTTGCACTCAGTGGGCATGTACTTAATAGCACTGAATGTTACCCTCAGAAATGGTTAAGATGGTCATTTGCATGTCACAAGCGTTTTACCACAAGTTGAAACAAAACAAAACGGGTCAATTAAGGCTAAGAAGATTGAGAAGTGCATCTCTAAACCAAGAATTACTGAATAAAAAGTTTTAGATATTTGTTTTAAAAAAGAGAGAGAGAAAGAAAGGTAAAACCCAGCTGAGTATATTCTCTTCCAAAATGTATGACCTTGGGGGCCCCAGGTGGCTCAGTCGGTTAAGCGTCCGACTTCGGCTCAGGTCATGATCTCACGGTTCGTGGGTTCGAGCCCCGCGTCGGGCTCTGGGCTGACAGCTCGGAGCCTGGAGCCTGCTTCGGATTCTGTGTCTCCCTCTCTCTCTGCCCCTCCCCTGCTCATGCTCTGTCTCTCTCTCTCTCTCTCAAAAAAATAAACATTTAAAAAAAAATGTCTGACCTTGTCAAAAACTGAAATGGACTTTCGAGCCAACATCGCCTTCAGAACTCCAGCATGCTCTGTGGGGTCTCCCGCCCACGCCTCCCAGCTTCTCCGGGTCCCCGTCAAGGCGGCTGGACCAACCCCCCCGGAGAGCAGGGCCCCCATCTACCTGCTCGACACCCACCTCCTGATGATTGTTCTTCCTCTGAAATCTCCAAGTACAGCTCCTTCGACTTGGCATTCAACTCGCTGCAGGAAAGACAAAGAATTTTTAAACAAGCTCCATTAACTTTTTGAAACGGTGTTTTTTTTCTGACTGTACAAAGAGATACAAATCACCATCAGTATAAAGATTATCTGCAACCTGACTATCCCCAAACGGTTGCCGTTCATATTTGGTTGCTGGTCTCCCAGAATTCTCCGTGACTTCCTGGCTGATGACAGAAACGTTGTACACAGCCGCTCTCTGATACGGGGGCCGCTGGCCACAGATGGCCACCGAGAGCTCAAGGTAAGGCCAGGGCAAACGGAGGGCCTGAACTTAACTTTGTTTAAGTTTCACTAGTTGAAATTTCAAGAGTGACATGTAGTGAGTCGTTGCTGTATCAAAAAGTGTAGCTATACGGGCACCCGGTGGCTGAGTTGGTTGAGCATCCAACTCTTGCTTTCGGCTCAAGTCATGATCTCACGGTTCGTGGGATCGAGCCCCGAGTCGGGCTCTGTGCTGACAGTGCGGAGCCCACGTGGGATCCTCTCCCTCCGCCCCTCGCCCCTCGCACGTGCGAGCTCTCCCTCCCTCCCCAAATAAACATGTTTTTAAAAAGTGTAGCTATGTAATTATCTAAAAACAAAATTATAGAACATGATAGACCTCTCTCTCTCTTTTTTTTTTTCAATTAAGATACGGGACATCTTTCCATGTCAGACGCTACAGAACAACGTCATTTCACTATGTGGCCTTTTATTTTGTCCGTTCCTTAATAACCAACCCTTAATAATTGTTGGTTGTGGTCAACGTTCCGTAATTATAAACAAGCGAAGAGAAACATCCTTATCCATACATCTTTGTAAACACTGTGCGATTATTTCCTTAGGGAAACTGTAGATCCCAGCCAAAAGGTATGTGCATTTAAGAGATTTTCTCTCCCTCTCTCTTTTTTTTTTAATTTATTTTTTTTTAATTTTTTTTTTCAATGTTTATTTATTTTTGGGACAGAGAGAGACAGAGCATGAACGGGGGAGGGGCAGAGAGAGAGGGAGACACAGAATCGGAAACAGGCTCCAGGCTCTGAGCCATCAGCCCAGAGCCTGACGCGGGGCTCGAACTCACGGACTGCGAGATCGTGACCTGGCTGAAGTCGGACGCTTAACCGACTGCGCCACCCAGGCGCCCCTTTTTAATTTATTTTTAACAGAGAGAGACAGAGCATGAGCAGGGGAGGGGCAGAGAGAGAGAGAGACACAGAATCCGAAGCAGGCTCCAGGCTCTGAGCCGTCAGCACAGAGCCCGATGCGGGGCTCGAACTCACAGATCGCAAGATCATGACCTGAGCTGAAGTCGGACGCTCAACCGGCTGAGCCACCCAGGCGCCCCATCTCCCTCTCTCTTTTTTATAATACGCCTGGAGGACTTCCAGAATGGCTATTCCAATCCACACTTCCACTGGCTGTTCTCACTCCCCTACTCTCTACCACCCTGTAAGGTGAAAAAATTCTCTCTTTTGTCTACACACTTGTATTGAACTACTTGTGGGAGTGAACATCTTTTCAAAAGTTTCTAGCTATCTATCGTTCTTGCTTTCATATTTCCAGCTCATTTTTCCCCCGTTTTCCAAGGGAGCGCTCCTATTTTCATTAATGATTTATAAAAGCTCTTTATATTATACGTGGGACGTCTGCGGTCAGTACTTTTTCCTAATGGTTCATCGTGCAAGCATCAGAAAGCAATTGACTTCTGCAGAGTTAGCCACTTGACTGGAATATTATTTATACCGGTTTCCTCATATTCTTTCTATCCTGTATCTTGTTATTTCTAATAGTTTTAACTGATTTTCGCAAGCAGTCTAGACATGTAACCGTATCCCCTCCAGGTAACGATTCCTACCTCGGATGTTGGCTACACATTTAAGCGAAATTTATTTTTTAGTTTTAGTTTTTGGCGTGAACGGTGCTGTAAACCGACTGCCGGGTTGGGCAGTCTTGGACAGGTGTGGCTGTACAAACCCAAGCCCAAGATAGCCAGGCTGTACGCACAAGGTGAATTCTTCTTCCCAGGTGAGGTCCGTAGCGTTTTTCGCGAGGGCGCTGAACTTCTGAACGGGATCATTCAGCCGAACTACACACTGTGGGTTCACGTAGCCTGTAATCGAACAAAGGGGCATTTTTATTTTTTAACCGCATTACACGTATACACGTTTTGCATATAACAGGCGGAATTAAATGCCTGAGCTCTTGGCTCACCCACTTCTGGGGGGACGGTTCTTTGTTTCCTTTGCCATTAGCAAACTCTCGAAGCACCTCATTGGAGGTTTAAGATTTTCTATCCCCAACTTGGTATCTATTGACCTTGGACAGACCCCAAGTGCCCCTGCTCCCTGCCCTGGGCGGGAGGGGAGGGGGGACACTCCCCAGGGGCGACATCACTACAGAAGATGTGGCCCCCACTTTTGGACAAGACTAACTGCTTGCAGAAGACAAGTCCTCTGGAACGACCCCCAAGTGGGGGGGGTACCCCACAGGGAAGCCATGTCCCTACTTACAAGGGGTGCGTTTTTACACCTGACTCGGCTCAGTCAGACTCCTGTCTGGGGATCACTGATCCCCGTAACGGGACATTTCACTGGTGAACAGTTGTCGTCCCACGGCATGAAGGTGTGGACACACGGCGTAGTCAGTCATCACCGGAACGCACGGACGCTTTACCACATACCCCACGGTGCCAGGTGTTCTATCACATTATCTTACGAATCTTCACAATCACCGTGGAGGGGAGACACGGACCCAGATGTGCACCTGCTGGCAGAGGCGAGGAACGGGGACCCCAGCCCTGGCCGACTGAGTCCAGAGAGAGATGCCCCTCGGCGGCTGAACACTGCAGCCCCAGACGGCAACATCCAAGTGCTTTTACCCGAACGATCACCTAGGATGAGCTTGGCACAGACTCTCATTTGTTAAATGCGGACAGTCTGTGCTTTGGGGACCGGAAGGAAGTCCCTGCAGATAAACAACCCTTAGTGTGCTCGGACAATAAAGAGGAATTCATTCCTGGTCTCAGCAAAATCGGATCACAGTGGAAAGATGTGTCCTGTCCCAGGCTGCTGTGCCTGTGGGGGCTCAGCAAACGTTCGGGAACAGCTAAAAAGAATAATCTGTTTGGGGCGTCTGGGCGGCTCAGTCAGTTAAGCATCTTGACTCCTGATCTCAGCTCAGGTCACGATCTCACGGTTTGTGAGCTCGAGCCCCACGTCGGGCTCTGTGCTGACAGTGTGGAGCCTGCTTGGGATTCTCTCTCTCGTCCCCGCTCTCTGCCCCTTCCCTGCTTGCACTCTCTCTCTCGAAATAAGTAAACTTAAAGAAAAAAAAAAAAGAGAGAATGGTCTGCAATACTTTTCACTCCGATAACAGCCCCGCCGTGCAGCGAAGCGTCCCCGATGGGCCAAAGCCCTTCTGACGCTCCCTAAACTGCCCCCGTGGCACCTCGGCTTCTAGAAAAGGAGAAGGTGCCTATTGCCTATCAGTCAGGGATGCTTAACATGGGTTTACGCGTTCAATAGTTCAAAGAAAAAAAAAAGGATGTGCCTTCCAGACTCAAGAGAAGGACAAGGTTACACACGACCGCATTCCTTTCTGCCCTCAGCCTTCACGTATGAAAGCCAGGACCGTTTTTTAACTGCCCCTCTTTGCCGTTATGCTTCTCAGGGGCTCTTTCTGCTCAAAGGCGGGGGTCACGCCGCAGACCCAACTGGAGGGTGCCACAGCGAAACCACAAATCACCCTGAGGGACGGTCCCTTCTGGAACCAGCGGGGCTCCCCGCGCCACCTGCCTGAAGCACCGGGATCGTGCAGCAGCGAGGCCCGGATGTTATTCACCGACAGCTTGAGTTCGTGGGCCCTTGGAGGTTTGGGAGGGCAGGATTCCTGAGGGCTGGGTGCAGTGTGCTGCAGGTTCTGTGAACAGAAGCACACAGGACAGTGACCTGCGGGGAAGAAGGGGCGGCCGCCCAACACCTCGACACCTGTCACTGGGGGCGGGGGGCGTCTTCAGGACCGTCTGCACGGGGCGCCTGACCCTGGGGTCTGCTCTGCGACGATTTTTCCCTTCTCGTGGGAAGGGAGGGTCCCAATCAACCAAAACCTCTTCCCTTGCAAGGGAGCCTTTTATGCCCAAATAAAGCAGGTGCGGGGGCGCCTGGGTGGCTCAGCCTGTTAAGCATCCGACTCACGGTTCCTGAGGTCGGGCCCCACGTCAGGCTCTGGGCTGATGGCACGGAGCCTGCTTGGGATTCCGTCTCTCCTTTCTGTCCCTCCCTCACTCGTGCTCTCTCCCTCTCTCAAAAATAAATACATAAACTTTTAAAAAAGTTTGTGAACCAGGACCCTGCTGATTGTGACCTGTAAGAAGCAGTCACAAAAGTCCTTAGGATCCCAGTCCATGAGCACTGGGGCCAGAGCAATCACAGGGCTGGGACGGAGGTAAAATATTTCAATTATATATGCATGACGGTTAATTTTACGTGTCAACTTGACGGGGCCACGGGACACGCAAGTATTTGCTCATTGTCCTGGGTGTTGCTATGAGGGTATTTTTGCACGAGGTTAACATTTCAATCAAAAGACCAAGTAAAGGGGCGCCTGGGTGGCGCAGTCGGTTAAGCGTCCGACTTCAGCCAGGTCACGATCTCGCGGTCCGTGAGTTCGAGCCCCGCGTCGGGCTCTGGGCTGATGGCTCAGAGCCTGGAGCCTGTTTCCGATTCTGTGTCTCCCTCTCTCTCTGCCCCTCCCCCGTTCATGCTCTGTCTCTCTCTGTCCCAAAAATAAATAAACGTTGAAAAAAAAAAAATTAAAAAAAAAAAAAAAAAAAAAAGACCAAGTAAAGAAGGTTGCTCTCCCTAATGTGGGTGGGCCTCATCCAATCAGTTGAAGGCCTGAACACAACAAAGGCCGACCTTCCCTGGAAAAGAGGAGATTCCTCCAGCCTGACTGCTTTAAGCCAGGATATCAGTTTTTTTCCTGCCTTTAGACTTGAATGGAAACATTAGTTCTTCATGTCTGCTGGCCTTCAGACGGGAAGTGCCCCCGGGGTTCTCCTGGGTCTCCGGCTCGCTGACTCACCCTGCAGATCCTGGGACTGTCGGCCTCTGTGATCACGTGAGCCCATTCCTTACAATAAGTTTTTGTGCATGTGAACAAATGTACATTTATATAAATACACAACTGGCTCATGCAGTTACGGAGGGTATCAGATAAAGCCTCCTTGCTTCAAGGGCATGTTCTCATTGCTGATTGGGTTTCCCAGGTCCCATAGTCCTGGAAGGATGAGATCCGAGACCACAGGCTCTGAGGGGACAGCCAACACAGAAAAGCAGAGGGTCAAGGCCAATTAGGGCTGGACCGTGCGGAGAGGCCCAGACACCTGTTGCTTCCATCCCACGGGGCTTTGGAACCCTGTGCCCTGAACTCGAAGCTCGTCCCTGACACGGTCAAGATCACCAGCAAGCAGCCGTTCACTCTGGCTCTCCCATGAAGGGTGGAGGGACAAGGGGAGTGCGTGCAGATTCTCCAGGAGGGGGACCCTGGTCCCAAAGGGTCGGGAAGCTCCGCCCTCCGTGGAGGACTTACCTGAACTTCCCTCACATCCACAGGCTTGGTCCTCAGAACCACCGACGGCGAGGCAGAACCAACCAGGTGCTTCAAGATATCCTTGAGGGTTTCAGACACTGCTTTCATCTCAGCCGCCCGCTCCTGCCGGAAGAAGACAAGCCACCCAATCATTTCATAACCGTCGCCGTGCAGCCGGACGGGCAGGTGACTGCTCTCCTCACCGCATCCCTGAGGCAAAGCCCGCTGGGTGCGGCCTGGGCTCCCGGGAGGTCAGATTAGGACAGGTGACGTCTGGGAGACGGGGTCCTCCGATCTCACAGATCATCAGGCCCCTTATTTCTAAAAACGGCAAAAGTAAAGACACGCGGGATACAGAAACATGCTGCTATTTCTGCGTAAACCCTTTCCGACAGATGTGTTTTTTCTGTCTCGCGTGACTTTTTTTTTTTTTTTTGAAGTTAAAAAGTATTCAAGTAAGTGAAAAGGCCCGAGGAGAAAGACAAGCTTGTAGAGGAACAAAACTGGATGATTTGTGTTACCAGGGGTCAGCTCCATAGAGCTGTAATAATTCCCACCCAACAGAAACGTGTTCCTGCGTTCCAGAATGCACACAGCACCACTGTTCATAAAGCCCCAAACTGGAAACTCCCTAAGTATCCGTCAGCCGCTAAATAGATACGTAAACTGTGGGGCAGTCACACGGAGGGAGTGCCACACCAGCCCTCTGGTGTCCCTTGTCACCTCTGGGGTAAATGCCCTCGCTGCGGGGCTCCAGCTACCCTCACCTGCTCAGGGGACAGGACGTTTGCAGGAAAGACCTCCCCCAGGACCACAGACCCATGGAAAACCTCTGACTTGCAGGGTTGGAGGGATCTCAGGGATCGGTCTGCAGACGGCCGGCCAGGTCCTGCTCTGGCCAACTTAGTCCCAACGTGCCCATTAGTGAACATCTACTCTCTGCTAGAGACTCTAATAAGTATCAAAACAGCAAATACCCGCGTCACTCTTAGGATAAGTCAGGCTCGATCCTAGGCGCTTCTAGGTACTAGCTCATTTAATCTTCGCGACCACCTTGACTATCATTGTTCCCACTCGAGCGACGAGGACACTAACGCACAGAGAAGTGAATTACCACGCGTAGGGTCACCCGGCGCGTGAGCGGCAGAGCCGAGAGCCAAACCCCGGCGTTAAGGCTCCGTGGTCTGTACTTAACATGTCGTCCCTTCCCTTCAACACGTCCTCGATACACCGATCTTCTTCAAGTGAGGTGAAATCCGCAAGACATAAAATTCACCATTTTAAAGCAGACATTCTGGTAGCTTTGGGACGCTCTGCTCTGAGCATTGGGACGCTCGGTGCTGTGCAACCACCCTCACTCTGTCACCCGTACCCTGATCTCTCGCTCCCCGCGGCCACTCCCCCCCCAACCAACTGCCCCTGCCGGCCACTGCTCTGCCTTCTGCGTCTACGGTTTGCCCGCTGCGACAGCTCCTAGAAATGGGATCGTAAACGCGTGTTTTCGTGTCGGCTTGCCTCGCTCTGCTTGACCTTTTCGAGGTTCCTCCATGTGGCAGCAGGTGTCAGAACCTCATTCCTTGTTTGCGGCTGAAAAAATACTCCATCGTACGGATGGACGGACCTCGTTCTGCTCACGTACTTGAGTCTTTTTTTAACCCCGCCCCCAATTTCTCGTCGCTTCACAGAGGGGGAAATGGGGTGCTCAGATGCCAGAGTTCATGCCCAGATGAGCAGCTGGGTCGGGCCGGCGTCAGATTCATCCAACGCCCTGCCGTGGCCGCCCCGTTCTCTGGGACGAGGGGAGAAGCCTGCCCAGGGAGGCGCTGGTCCGAGCCTCTGCTCCCCAGATCGGGCGCTCGCGACCTGCGAGCACGTTCACACACACCGACGG